TGTTATGTACACCGTGTTGGTCGGTATTGTGTTTTGTATATCGGTGATCTTCTGTGTCCTTTGTGTATCTTCAATTTTTCATTTGTGTTTCCCTATTTATATAATTTTTTGTATATATATACTAATATTGCTTGTTCAGGTTTAGTTCGTTAGGACTACCAAGAATCGGCACTATTATTACTGGCATATCGGTCCCCCATTTTTCTTAACATCAATTGATAAAGGTGTTGGTTCAGTCATAGGGAGGTGAAGGACTCTTTGTCGGATGTTTGCAATTGACAATGTAATGCAGCAATGCTTTTGATTGATTGATTTGTTTGTTTCGAATTTCTACCTTTGTACATTTCCCTAATTACACGTCGTTCCTGAAATAACTGGCAATAATTCCTGCGAGTGTAAGACGTCTTTCTTTCAGGCCAGCTAAAATTGACATATATCAACCCGACCTTTTTCGTTTGACGTTACGGCACCTTTGGTGGCGGGGAATTGACACCTATATTACTGGTATTGGTTCCGGACAACACTCGATTAACGAATTTAATATTGTTTACATTATTCATTCCTATACTTAATGTGGAAATAACTAAGGGACATTATGACTTTACGTCCACTAATTTCTTCTTATTCTTTCTAACTTTGGTCCCCTATCCTGTTACATTGGCAAGTGAGTGTATTAATCTTATATTCCTTTCTACAATCATTACATTGCCATGTATTATTTTACAATAACCCATCTCACAGACGTATATGTTTTTACCTTTAAATTCAAGTTACTTATAAAGTTATTTTTTAACATACTTTACAGAGGAAACGTTTCCACGAACAGCTAAATGAAATGAGGCGTGGTAAACGAAGTCTAGTTGGTTTGGCAACACACTAGCGAAACTAAAAGATATAGCAGATTCTTTCCAATAACGTCTTACTCTTCTCTTGACTCCAATAAGAAGTTCTTTTGTGTCTTCGTTAAAAAAATTTTGGTACATTCGCTGGACGAGTCATACAGCCCAGATTGGAGTGTGAATCAAATCAAAACTTTCGAACAATACTCTGGTGACTTCGCAATTTCTCCAAAAAACAGGTAAAGCCTCGAGAGAGATATATATATACATTCTTATTTTACGTTTGACTTTTTTATATCGGGTTACTATTAAAATCTACATTAATCTCGTCCCCACAGTTTTGAGTTAAAAGTAAGAGCCCGGTGTAATCGTAATACCAAACGTGGAGTCTCCCGGGTCCAACATTTGAAATTCTGGATCTAATTCTGTTATGATATACTTATAATTATATATATTTTATTACATAATATAATGTAATAACAGACGGTAACCTGTAATAATACCCTATGCTCATTTTTATTTGAAGTATTAATTGATACAGGACTTTTCGATACAGATCCCGTTTTATTAACGTTTCAGAGAAGTCACTCGTACAGTGTTTTTTACTAAATTGTTTTTTCCTTTCGGTTTTTAAGACCTCTTTTTAAAATTTTTTTATATATTTCACTGTTAAAACCTTTTTTTTCAATTTAAAACTTTTCAATCTTTTTCAAATTTAACTCTTTTTTCGTTTAAGACCCTCTTTTTCCCGGGGGGTTTATAAAAAACTCTTTTTTTCGTGTATAAACCTCCTACGTCCCACCCTTGTACCCCCGTGGGGCACGGAAAAAAGGACAGTTATAACCGGTGTATACATTTTGGGCCATTATTATTTTGTAATTGTTTATAAAAAGGGGAAAGGGGTCGAGAAACACCCCCGGAGGTTTCGTACCCTTTTTAACCCCTTCAAGGGGTTGCCCCGGCCATTAAAACCCGGGGGCGGTCCGGGGGAAACTCCAAAAAACCTGGGTTGGGGTGACATTCTCCTTAACTCTAATAATTAACTCTCTTTTTAGGGTTTTATACTTCTTAAATTAAAAAAAAAAACATTTTTGGGTTACCCCGCATTATAGGGGTTTATTAACGGGTTTTTGTTATAATAATTTCCCAAAACTGGGAGGGAAAAAACTTAAAAACGTGGGAAAGTTATTTTATAAAATTGGTGTTTTTTCTTCCTAACTAAAATTTTCCTCTCTCCTTAAAAATAACACCTATTTTTTTAGGTAGTCACCACTACCCCCACCTCAAACTAATTGAAAACGCCCCCATTCTCAGGGGGGGGGTTAAAGGACCCCATTTTCAAAAAATTTCCTAATAAATTGGGTGTAAAAGGGACATTACCGGTTTCCCCTTTTCCTTTTTTGGTGGGAATACTTCGTATTGTTATTAATTATATGTTATGTTTTAGTTTTGGGGGTGGGGCAATGGGAATTATCGGAGGTTATTAGTTTCCTTAAGGGTTTTTATTATTATTGCTATATATAAAAAGATAGTCGGGTTTTTGGGTGATTGTACAGGGGGTTAAAAACGGACTAACTAACTCCTTATTAAAGGAAAGAAAACCTGGTTTTTGTGATGAAAGGCGGAATTAAAGGGGTTAAACAATTTTTTTAAATATTAAAATGAAAAAACGTGTTTAAAACCCAAGGGGACAAGAAAAAAAAAATTAGGACAAAAATATAACACAAAACGAGACAAAAAAAAACCTCCTCGGACCAACTGGGACATTCTTAAAAGTTTAGCTGGTTATTGAATGTTGGACATCGAAAAAAATACATTTTTTGCTTTACTTTGTTTATTTTTTTCGGGACCTTTGGGAAACCCCCTTTGGGAAAAGGATGGGGGGAGGAAAAGTGGGAGAAAGGGAGAAAGGGGAGAAAAAAAAGGGGGGAAGAAGGGACATTGGAATCCACCCCCTTTCTTAACCAGGGGCAGTCCGGGCATTAGGAACAGGTCCGGGGTCGGAGGGCTAGACCAGGGGCTGTAGGTTCTAACCTCAAAGGGGTTTGCCGGTTAGGTTCTACCCCCCTTGGGGCGGCACTCCCCTTCTCTGGGCTTGGACCCCTTTTTCTTTGTAGGGGGTTGGCCGTTCGGGAAAGAAAGGGGGAAAAAAAAACAGGGGCGGGGGCGGGTTCCGGGGAAACCGGAAACCCCGAAAAAACTACGGTTGGCGGGGTTTCCTACCAACCTCCGAACGGCTTTCCCAAGACGGAAAAAAGAGAAAAAGGGTAGGGCAGAAAACGGCAAGGGTGTGGTACTTTGTTTGGAAAAGAAATTAAAAAAACTTACTCAGAAACAGGAAAAAAAAAAAAAAAAAAAAAAAAATAACTTGACAAAATTAAAAAAACAAATGTTAGGTTTCTTGTATGCGAACTGTAATTCCTGAAAAAAAGGTAAGTTTACTTGTTTTATTTATTGATCCCATTTTTTTGTCTTATACTTATTTTATTTCATTTCAATTTTGTAAAATGTTCAAAATTTTATTTTTTCTATTAAAATAACTTTTTTTTTAATTAAATTATTATCATTTCATTTTATTTTCCGTAAAAAATTTGTTGCTTCCCTCAACTTGTAGAAAATCGTCTTCGGTTCCTTAGCCAAATGTGCCAAAAATGGTGCCCCTGTAACAGGGGTGTATTACCAAGAAAAAAACCTTAAAAATCAACAAAAAATTAAAAAAAAAATTGTATTACACAATTACCCTTTACACAAAACAAAAAGAAAGGGGTCCCACGTTCGGTCGGCTTGGGGCTGTTCACCTGCTTCGGTCGTCGGTTCTTCCGAAAGCTCTCCGTCGGGGGAACTTCCAGGGAACGCATTACCGGTTTAGGGGTGGTTTTGCGGGACGGGCGTGTCTTGCGAGTTTAGGTTTCTTTTGCGGGGCCAAGTTGGTTCCGAGCTCCATTCTTTGTTCTTTCCTCTTTTTTCTCAGTTTCGGGGTTTTTTGGAACTTCACTGGGTTAAAAAATGGCAGGTCAAAAAAAACGTTATATTGTGTCTAAAAAAAATAACCTAAAACTGACCTCCTTTTCTACGGAAAAATTGTCCAAGGGAGTCGGGGATTCTTACTTGTCCAAAAAAAAAATTTTTGTAAACATTGGCGGGAAAAGTTAAATCACTACCTTGACCTAAACTTAGGGTGGGAAGTGTTTTTAGGTTAAAAAAGGTAAAAAAAAAAAAATTTTTTAATTTTTTAGAGAGAATAGTTTAAAGGATTTTATGGCTACCGAAGGGGGACATAAAAAAAGCATGTAAAAAAACATAAGTTTTTATCCAATAAAAATGTGTTCTTTATTTCTTTATAAAACAATTTTAAACGGGACAAGGAAAATGTTAATTAATTCCTTGTTAGAAACAAAAATTTTTTTGAAAAAAAAAAAAAAAAAAAAAAAAAATGAAATTTAAAAGAACAAAAAAAAAAAGGAGGTCAAAAAAAATAACCTTTTGTACAAAAAATCTGGAGAAGGGGGGACTGAAAACGGGAAACTTGCAACTTCGAAAGTAAAGGGGCGCATAATTACTATAATCCGGGAACGGGTAAAAATCACGGTGGGTGGAAATAAAAAAATTTGGTGGATAATGTTGAAATTTAATACAAAAAAAAAAAAAAAACAATTGTCAATTTTATAATCTCTTTGTGAACAAAAAAAAATTTAAAAGCCGAATAACATTACGGCGAAACACAAAAGGGAAAGGGGTTCGTTAACGGTCGGTTTTGGTTCGTCCGGTCGTTTTTCGTCGGTTGGAGTTTTGGTAACGACGGGCGGGTTTGGTGCGGTTTCGGAAGGGAGGTTCGTTTCTTGGTTACGGCCGCGTCAGTCGTCGAACCAGGTCTCGAAAACGGTTCCATTGGTAGAAGAGTTTAACCAATATGTAGGTCCACAAAAAAAAAATGTCTTGTTGTTCACCAGGACAGAAGGAAATGTTTAGTGTTTCTTTTCTTTTTGTTCTGTTATAACGCCTTGTGCGGAATGCTTTGGCAATACTATGTTTAAAATGTGGTCATGCCAATAAAGCCCCTTTGTATTGTGTTGTATTGTATTGCTGCTCTGCCACCTAATTTCCCTATGTGGATAAATACATATTTTCTTATCTTAACATTTTGATAACCAGCTGTATTTCCTGATTTGAGCTCCCTGCACCTACCAGCGTCTCCCATGGAGCCGAAGATGTTCTCAGTGACGTCCAGGATGCGGTCGGTGGCTTCTCCGTGGCGTCCAATAGGATGTCCTCCGCTGGCGTACTGCTTGATGTGCTGCAGCAGCTCGTTGAGGGCCTGATTGACGCCTGTGGCAGCAAAGCCCACCTGTTTCAGGAGCCCCTCGTCCTGAGTGGCCCCCTGCGATGCCTCCACGCAGCCCTCCACCGACTTGGCCACCAGCTTCCCCGCCTCGATCAGCTGTTCCTGGCACACCGGGGAGCTGATGGTCGGTGCCACCACCTGGAAGAGAGGAGACACGGTGTAGGAGTGAGGAGAGGAGGAGAAAGGGTGAGGACAAAGGGCGAATAAATACATGAAGGAATTAATATGTAAATAAATAAATGAAGGAATTAATTTATAAGTAAGTAAGTAAGTAAGTATGGAAGTATGTAGGTAATTATGTATGTAGGTGAGTAAGCAAGTTAGTAGGTTAGTAAGTAAGTAAGTGATTGAGTGAGTAAGTAAGTAGGTAAGTAAATAAATAAATAATGATGTAGGTGAGCAAGTAAGTAAGTAAGTAAGGAGGTAAGTAAGTAAGTAGGTAAGTCATTATGTAGGTGAGTAAGTAAGTAGGTAAGTAAGTAAGTAAGGAGGTAAGTAAGTAAGTAAGGAGGTAAGACAGGTGGTAAGTACAGTAAGTAGGTAAGTGAGTAAGTAAGGAGGTAAGTAAGTAAGGAGGTAAGTAAGTAAGGAGGTAAGTAAGTAAGTAGGTAAGTGAGTAAATGAGTAAGTAAGTAAATTGGTAAGTTAGTAAAATAAATAAAAGTATATACAAAATATATATTTATATATATAAAATAAAATAAAAATCTTTAATACTTCATACTTTTAAAATGTTCTGAAATCATAATTGAACTATATCAGTGTATACTGTAAGTACACTATGATCTATAAGTTGTGTTATATAGAGAATAGAGAAACTCAAAATCTTCCGTGGCGGAAAATCGTATTTATTTTTTCAAATTGGAGTTAAATATGTCGGAGACAGCAGGATAGATAACACACATTTTAAGGTTATCTCAGACAAGGACTTACTGTATGTTTGCCATGTATTACTAGAAATGTGTTCATAAATGTTGAGAAATTGTTTGACTTTGTGTTTGGTTTAAAGATAGCTGAAAGGATCATTTTTTCTTCTTGTTAAATACATAATAAGAGATGTTATGTTTATGTTTGACTGTATATATGTGGACCCCAGGAAGAAGAGCCATGCTAGCACTAACATGGATCCTAATAAGCAAATCGAAATAAACATGTGAGGTCCACTGACCCTGGTGCAGGCCACCAGCTGAGAGGTGGACAGGGCGCACTGCGTGGCGGCAGCGATGACCCGGTTCTGCTGGGCCGAGTCCTCCGTCTTCTGAGCCACGTTCTTCGCCTTCAGCACCAGAGCGGCTGCTGCGCTAGCCACAGCTTTAGCCAACTGCATCAGCATGTCCTGCAGACAGCAAACACACCGCGGTTAGCATCACTGAACGTCACAGGGACGGATGATAGTGATGGATTAACATAGATTATAAATTAAGTCATTCACAATATTAGTTGAAAAAGATCTACTGATATTGCAGGGAATTAAAACAACAATTCTAGGTTGTAATGGTTAATATAATCAAACGTGATGAGGCTTATTCATTTATTGCTGCCCCCAGTGAAAGGTTTTAACATTGGTGTTTTTTTATTCATTCAGTATCAGCTACATTTCATTTTAAGAATTAAAGATAATCCAAGTCTAAAGCTGGATTGAAATATGATTGACAGATAGAATTTTGTTGGAGAGGATTTCTCTACTTTGTTGACAACGAGATTGTCTTGATTGGCCTTTGAGAATGAAACACTTGTCTTTAGGACACATTTGTTACCATCGTTTGACAATAAGAGGTGACCCTCCTCGTGGCACCCCTGAAAGATCCTCTACCTAGAAACTGTCAAATATACACATGAAACAGAGCAGCAACACGGGATACACTTTTATAAAACAACCAGAGATGTATGTTCTTATTTTACCCCTCTCCTTCTTTTGGGTTTAACCTGAGAACATTGCTCAAGTTGTGCTGTAAAAGCCGTTTTAAATGAATGAAAGTATGGATGTTATATCATCTTTCAATATCAAAGTTAACATTTGACGGAAGCTGGAAAAAAAGGGTTCTCACAGATCTGAAAAGGTTTCCCACATTACCAGGAGAAATAATTATAGGTTTGGAAGTTGTCTTCGATGGCTCTTTTAAATGTTATAGCCTAAATAACTAAATTACTCATTGAATGCAGTGCTTTCCATTAAGCCCGCGTCACACTGTCCCGAAATTGACACCCGATGGACACACGATTAAGGAAATGTTCAAATTCGGCTCTGATCGTAACAATATCGGGATATTCGTGAGGGCATCTTAAGCCATCGTATGACCGCCGGTGGAGTTTCTCAGGCTCCGGCAGCAACTTCGTGAGCGGCAACTTCGTAAGGCACTCTTGAGGGCATCTTGTCAAGCCGTGTCATCTTCGTGTTATCATCGGTGCCATCGGGCATTCACCCTCACTCTGATCGGGGCGAATGCCCGATGGCACCGATGATAACAAGATGCTCTCACGGAGTGAGGGTGAATGCCCGATGGCACCGATGATAACACGAAGATGACACGNATCCTACTTTTGTAACATTCCAAGGGAACTGAAAAAGGCACGGTCACATTTCTCAAGCCTACATTGAAACCAGTCCCGTTAGGAAAAGTATTCAGTGGACCTTCACAATTATTTTCACATGGTAACACGACAATGTACCACACCACTCGACCACACCAATCAGAACACAACGTCCTCGGGCTCCTCTGGAAGAAGGAAAAAACCTGGATTGGGTTATTTTACCTTAGGTCACAAATCTGACGGCAAAAGGAAGTGGAGGTCTCCTTTATTTACCAGTAAACTCTGTTTAAGGCAACCTGCTCTCTTTAAAAGATGTTATCGAACGTGGATTTCATCCTGGTAAAAAAAAATCCGTAAATGACTAACCATGGATTAAGTCGCTCAAGATTATACTCCCCACACAATGCTAACAAATCTGACAGAAATTAGTTACACTTAAAATCTTTTACATTAAATTTAAAGAGTGGTTTATTTTGGAATTTAAGGTTTTGTGTGCCGATCTATTCTTTTTAAAATTATTCGTCCAAGTTTAGAAGACCTACAAGGAGGCCCATCAGATCCAGTTTCCTCCCCTTCCTTCGATTGTGAGGTCTGTGTGTAGAGGGAGAAACAGATAAAAACGAAAGATGCTTTGGTCCATGATGTTGTAGGTTCGTGCTCAGAGCACACACTCTGGTCCTAGCAGTCTGTAGATTCAGTGGGCTTCTATTCCGTTCTCCTTCCACAGAACTAAAGTGAATGCTATGGTCCGGCATGCTGGTGGCGAAACCGAGTTCCAGAGTCATTGGCTCCCCGTCCAAGGCCGTTGAGCCAGGAGGTGACGGCCGGGCAGGAAGCTGACCCCCGTTTGGGACTTCCTGTAGGCCGGGGGAGCGGGTTTCTCAGCGATATGCCCTGAGATGGCCTCCTCCTCAGGCTCCATCCACGTTACAGGAAGTGGTTGTCGAAGGAGGAGCGAAAACACCTCGTCGAAACGAAAACTGAGCAGGGAGAGGTTGACAAGGGACGCGCTCACTGCGTCTATTATCATCCGCTGAAGACACGAGAATAAGATCATTGTTAGATAGAATTATGACTCGTCTTGAGCTTCATCTCAGGATCCATGTATCTGTGATCTTCTCCAGAATGGAAGTAGTCATCACATACAGAGGCATTCAACTTAGTTGCCTGGAACCAGTGTCCTTTCACATTGGCTGATATCCCAAGAGAGGGAGTTACACAGTCACCAAGATGGCAGGGATACCGGTTCTTCTAGGTATTCATACATCCTGTCATCTACAAAATTAGGCTGACTGACTTTTTCTCAAAAATTCAGATTTTCTCAACTCAAATCCTGACTTTTTTTCTCAAAATTCTACACTTTCTTATTTTTCTCCAATATAAAATTTTTTTAAACTTTTTTCTAAAAATTCTGACTTTCTGTAAAAATTCTGTCTTATTTCTCCAAATAACTTTTAAAACTATATTTCTAAAAATCTGACTGACTCAAAATGTATGTATTTTTCTAAAAATCTTAACAATTCTGACTTTTTTTCACAAATTCTGTATTTTTTCTCAAAATTTTTAGATTCTCTTCAAAATCCTGACTTTTTTCTCAAAATATTTTTTTTAAAAACTTTTTTCTAAAAATTCTACTTTCTGTAAAAATTCTTTTTTCTGTCTTTCTTTTTTTCTCCAAATATTTTTGTAAAAACTTTTTTCTAAAAAAATTCGGGACTTTCTGACTAAAAATTATTGTATTATTTTTCTAAAAATTTAAAAAATTATGTTATTTTTCAAATTATGTATTTTTTCTCAAAATTATGTATTTTTTTCTCAAAATTCGTCTTATTTCTCAAATCTAAAAATCCTGATATTTTTACAACAAAATTCTGTATTTTACTCAAAATGTCAAACAATTCTGCATTTTTCTCAAAATGTCAAATTCTGTCTTTTTTCTCAAATGTCAAAATTCTGTCTTTTTTCGCAAAATGCATTCTTTTTTCTCAAAATGTCAAAAATTCTGTCTTTTTTCTCAAAATGTCGAAAATTCTGTCTCTTTTCGCCAAAATGCGTTCTTTTTTCGCAAAATGTCAAAATTCTGACCTTTTCTCAAAATCCTGACACTTTTACTCAAAATCTCCAACAGTGTCTATCAATGCCTGATATCCAAAGAGAGGGATCACAAAGTCACAATAGATGGAGAATAGAAAGCAGTATTCAATGTACTTCAGATTAGCTCCACGTCAGAAATGATCATGCTGGTCATTATGTGCTCTCTCCACTAGAGGCCTGAATCATCATGTTTAATCACATAGCTATCATATGCCTCAAACAGTCCTTGTATGCTTTTTCTAGGGTAATCACACACATCCCTGTCCATGTTCACAGCTACAGGTGGGAATACCTTTGTTATCATGTTACTCTGATATTGGAAGAGTGATATTCTCAGTATTTTCCCAACAACAGATATGGACTGGAACTTATTTACTCGCCCTTGGGAAGTTCAGGCGTTTATAACAGCAACAGGGTCATAGTAAAAAACAGGATACACACAAGGGTAAAAATAAACAAAATATACCTCAATCTCAATCTATGTATTCACCTGCAGGGACCCTCCCGCTGGTGACAGCTTCCACAGTTCATAACATTTATAAATAATATGAATGTTGGTTAAAGAGCTGTTAAGAGTTTGACCATCTAACAGAAGTACAGAGCAGGTGCTTGTCCTTTAAATGATCTCGAGATGTTTCCCTATCCTACACCTGAGAATCTCGAAGCTGGCGAAGTCCCACTGATAGACCACCGATGTCTGAGCTGCAGACGATGTCGCCTCGTCGACTGCAGGCGGGGCTGGCAGGCTGAGATTGGCTGCGGTCCTCCGACACCCGGAGAGCGTCTCAGACACTTACAGTTGATCTCTCTTGCCTAAAGGCCCACACCTGAGGGACAGGGTTACCACATCAGACGCACGCTTTACCAGCAAAGCAGCTCACATGATGAAACAATGAGATAAGTGAAGGAAAAGGAAGGTCTAGAAGAAAGGAGCCTTACCTTAATTTTCATACTTATCAACACTCAGGAGGATGTAATCCCCAGGGCTGTGCACCACAGACCCACTTCCTTTTTCTGCAGATCTCACCTGATGGGGGGACAAGAGGCATGTTTCTAAATTGCATGACAGCAAATAGTACAGACCTTATTACAACATATTTGTTTGTTACAAATCTTCCTAAAAATAGAAATCACAACATGATTATTTCAGTAAAGGTGTGAATAATGTACACAAATGCTAATTCCCTCTAATATTGCACATTTGAGCAATTCCGATATCAAGATTGATGACTATTCTTTCTAAATCTTTGAAGCCCTGGAACTATCACATGACTCGGGGTGTTGTAACAGAGGAAAGTGTGGTGGGGGGGCGGGGAGGACATTGAATGAGTGACCTTTCAGTCAGAGTAACTGGAGCCACACGAGGATGGTAACGGTCGTATCCGCTACAGTTCTCCATCAGATAGACGGTCCGGCCACACGAGGCCGACAGTGGAACGCAGATAACGATAACGGCTCCCCAGGTGGGTAGGTCTGCGGACGAAACGCTCTTGGGGACCAAACAGCAATACGATCATTTTCTGATGACGCAATAGCCCCGCCTCTCCCCACCTCTCCTTCTCACCCCCGTGTCTCCCGCGTCATTGCTGATGTGTTTCGCCAACAACAACAACAACAACAGTTTTCCGAGTGTTTCCAGCCAGGTCCCGGTATCTCGCAGGACAGTGCACCGAGCAGGTGCCTCCAGCAGACCCCCCCGCACGGCAGAGTTTCCGTTAACCGAAATCTAAAATTCTCCGGTCAAAATGTCGCTTATTGTTTAGGTGTCCTTTGACACTCAGGCAGTCATATCATTAGAACTAGCTAGATCTGATCGATACGGACATAAACGCGAGTGAAGTCTAATCGGACCGGAGAGAGAGATCAGAGATCAAGAGCCCTGCCTCTCCCCACCTCTGCTGCTAAATCCACCGCGGAGAATAAACAGAAGGGCAACCATGGCAACCATGCTCGGAAGTCTTCTTCGCTGCTTTTGTTGTATTTTGTGGCAGGAGTACAGCGCCACTTACAGGCCCGGCATACGTACTACAGCGTCTCCAGCGGGTCGAGCGGTCTCGTGTGGAAGGACACGTTTCTGGTGCCCATTGCGTTTGGACGGAATAATTTTTTGATAACGATTTCGGTTCGTTAGCGTTACCGTTCTCGTGTGGCTCCAGCATAAGAGATGAGGATCCTGACCTGCCCTTTTACGAGAAGAAACCCCCCCCCCTCCTCTTTATTATATATTTATTTTTTGTCTTTGTATTGTTTTATTATTTTTATTTTAGTTTCGTCCTGTTAGTCTGTACAACACTCTCCTACATTTTGGCTACATGGTCTGTTTTGGTTTGACGCCTTCAAGTGAAGATGAACTATGTATGGCTTGTCAATTAGTAGAGACTAAGCTGAACACTAGTAGCTTTGAACTGTTCCATCTAACCTATCAATGTAAAAATGTATTTTCTATGTGTCTGGATCCTGACCTTGGTGACCCACTCGGTGTGTCCGGTGAGCGTGTTGAGGCAGGCCCCCGCAGACAGAGCCCACACCTTCACCGTGAAGTCAGCCGAGCCGCTCACCAGCACGTCCAGCTCGTCGTTGTAGTCCACGCTGAACACTGAGCACGCACAAGAGTTTATCAAAAGGTCAGAATATCAAATGAGTGTTCTTCCAAGTACACAAGTGACGTCACACATTCATAAATGTCACTGCTTTCGGCTGATTTGGATTATCCTTTGTGGACATTTTTCATATCAGAATACCTTCATTCGTCATTTACATTGTTACAGCAAGTAAAGCGCCAAACATAGCTTAATATAAATTAAGAAGCATGCATGACATATTAATGATAAAAGTAGAAATTACCAATTTACTGTTTACAAAATACACATCCAGTGCCAGTAACTGTTTAGAGATAGCAGCCAGGTGACAGTGTTTAAAGGTGGAAGTATATATATTGCACAGTTATTTACTTTGTATATACATATATTGCACAACGGGGGTGTTATAGTCTAGTCTTTGTTGTTATGTGTGTGTGGGGGTCTACCAGGGGCCGTGGAGGTTACACTGTTATACACTAGAGCTGTGTATGCTGAATGAATTGAGGCAGTAATGATATATTTTGGTAGGCGAAAGTTAGCATTGCAAGGATCCCTCGATCAAGATCTGTGGCAAACACACATTATGATATACTTATTGATTTTTGAAGTTGTCTCATTTGGTCACTTGTAAGCAACCGCCTTTCTATGACACAAAGAAGCTTCAGACATGTCGTAGAACAAAAGGTGAACATCCTCAGGGTGTTAACCACAGACCTCAGGCTTCTATCTAAAACCACTTTCATGACTCATTCCTGCACCACTGTTGAAACATGCTGTATAAACACAGTTCATCACACGATCACATGAAAAGGCCCAGAACAGATATTATTTGAGCAGTATGTTCTACCTGCTCCTGTGTGGCCCCTGAACTGCTGGATTTTGGCCCCTGTGCTCCACTCCCAGCTGGCGATGGTGTTGTCGAAGGACCCGGTCACCAGCTTCTGTTCATCGAACTTCACCGTGGCGCAGGTGTGCGTCTGGATTCCATAAATGCACTGCCCGGTGCGCACATCCCATAGTTTGGCAGAGAGGTCGTCAGACCCTGAGAACAAGAGCACAGCTGTGATGATGTGGCACCTAATGTTTCTGTTAGCCCGTATTTAACACATTTGAACCAAAATGAAACGTGTACATTTGAATCTGTCTGGTCATATTGTCCAGTAAAAATAAATACAATAAAATTAGATAAGTGTATTAAAAAAAATTATATTTGAAGGTCGCACAAGGGGGCGTACAAATGCCGCGTTTTGTGCATGATCAAATCCACTGTTCACTAGTTCACCTTTCAACTTGAAGCAGAGCAGAGACAAAAGGAAAATGAAATTTGCTGTGTGAAAAAGCTGTAATATGTCAAAGTGAGGCTATTTAATGAATAATAATTGTGTTTTCTCTCGTACATGGTCACATACTTTAGCAACAGCGATTGCACTGCAAAAATAGGCGATTAGGATTCACCCTGGTGACCCGAATCAAAAATTCTTCTTACAACTGGCATAGTTAATACACAGGTAATGTATCCAGAGGTCAGAGCAGCGTACCTGTGCAGAGGAGGCCGTCCTTGTAGTAGAGGGCGTAAACTCGAGCGCTGTGCCCGATGAGGGAGGAGGTCTCGAAGGCCTCCTGGTCCTGCAGCTGCACCATGCGGAGCTTAGCCTTCAGGTACACCCCCTTCCAGTGTGGGGCGTCCTGAATGGACTCATCGATCCTCCAGCCCAGCTTCCTGCACACACCCTGCCACACCTCGGTGCACGAGTTGATCAGCTGCAAGAAGCAAACAATACATTAAAGCTCACCTATTATGCAAAATCCACTTGTTCCTGTCTTCCATACATCAACATGTCCCCTTTTCTTCATGTCTCTTATACATCAACACGTGTCCCCTCTTCTCCATGTCTCTTCTACATCAACACGTGTCCCCTCTTCTTCATGTCTCTTCTACATCAACATGTGTCCCCTCTTCTTCATGTCTCCTCTACATCAACATGTCGTCCCTCTTCTCTGCTGTCTCTTCTACATCAACACGTGTCCCCTCTTCTTCATGTCTCTTCTACATCAACACGTGTCCCCTCTTCTTCATGTCTCTTCTACATCAACACGTGTCCCCTCTTCTTCATGTCTCTTCTACATCAACACGGTGTCCACTCTTCTTCATGTCTCTTCTACATCAACATGTGTCCCCCTCTTCTTCATGTCTCTTCTACATCAACATGTGTCCCCTCTTCTTCATGTCTCTTCTACATCAACATGTGTCCACTCTTCTTCATGTCTCCTCTACATCAACACGTGTCCCCTCTTCTTCATGTCTCCTCTACATCAACATGTGTCCACTCTTCTCCATGTCTCTTCTACATCAACATGTGTCCCCTCTTCTTCATGTCTCTCCTACATCAACATGTGTCCCCTCTTCTTCATGTCTCTTCTACATCAACACGTGTCCCCTCTTCTTCATGTCTCTTCTACATCAACATGTGTCCCCTCTTCTTCATGTCTCTTCTACATCAACATGTGTCCACTCTTCTTCATGTCTCTTCTACATCAACATGTGTCCCCTCTGTGGAAAGAGACTCTGAAAGTTTCAGGAACAAAGATTCTCTCTCTTTTTGATCCATTT